TAATAATAATAATAAAAACAATAATAATAATAATAGTAATAATAATAATAATACAGATGCGGTCATTATTTATGGTTGTGGCATGTTTCGTTTACAATCAACATGTTAATTACTGTTTTTTTCTGTGATTTCACTGGATATCATCTGTAATTTAATAAAATAGGCAAAATCAGTGAAAACTTATAGTTAAAAACGGTCAATATAGAAAAAATTTAACAGAGTATTTTCTAACAAAACCTGCAGTCTAAGTCTAGTTGATCACTCAGGCAAACAATTGCAGATTACGTTACAACGCATTCAGCCAGTTAAAGGTACAATATGCCGTTTTGTGATTGAGAAGGCTATCAGCAGATGCCCTCTTTTGTTCTGGAGAGATTTCCTTCTCATCATTTCAACACTCGATCTGGGATCAAATCTCGTTAGTAAAAGCCTTCTATGTCATGACTCAGTTACCAAGTCTCTTTGGTAGATGAGTATCCAAAATGTGATGAGTCAGTGTGGGAAAGTTTGCCTCTCTTCACATTTCTGTGGACTTTTTTTTTGTGTCAAGTTCTTGAAATGTGATCATTTCCAATACATGTAAGCCCTTTGGAGTGTCAGCATGCCAAAGAATCCCATCTTGGTGCTCTACAGTATTCTAGCTGGAGCAATTTCAGGATGCCACAGAAGATTAGAACAACATGCTGTGAGATATTTCTATCCTCTCCAGTTCTGGGTCTTGGTGTTATCTGTACTTTCTTCTATTCAGGCTGATATCAGGAGTGACGGGGGCACATGAGTCATGAACCAGCCCTTTCACCTTCCCTCTGTGGGAACGGACCGACGGATGAGGATTTGTTGTTTTTATTCCAGGATTTGGTTTCAGTTACATCTCTCGTTTTTTTGTACCTTTCTAAACTTAATGTTTGTCTTTATTTGCCCATCTGACTTCTTTCTTTTCTCTCTGTTGAATAAATGTGCCACATGATGCTTAGTTTTCCGGTTGACAGTTTTCAACGTTGCTATGACTGAAGTTACTGATGGTGTTACAGACAGAATTAGAATTATAGAATAGAAATAGAATAAAACTTTATTAATGCCTTCGGTACAAGACCTCAGGGAAATTGCTACTCCAGAAAAAAAACAACACAACACCAACATAAAATCAGCAACAACAACATTTCAAAATCAAAATCAGCATTCAGTATTCAAATTCAAAAATGAGCTGACTGAGGCAAAATCACAGTTTATACAGTAACCATAGAAACTACATTTTGGACGTTTTCCCCTTTTGTTGCTTTTCAACTTTGAATCATTTGAAATAATCTCTTTATGTAATTTTTTGGCAGAAAAGTCAAAGTGAAAAATATTTTGTACAAAGGCATATTAATGAAAAACATTAAATGTGAAATAAGTGATCCAACAGGTATTCATAGGTAAGTATTTAGAAGATGCACCCTTGGCCTAAATTACAACATTACGCCTATGTGGATAAGTCTCAATAAGCGTTGCACATGTGGACATTGCAACTTTCTCCATTTTTCTTTGCAAAAATTCTTCGCTCAAGTTAGGTCAAGTTGTACAGGAATTTCCCTTTTCAAAC